AATATTTCAAATAAATGTTCTTTTGAACTTTCTGTTCATCAAAGAATCTTGAAAAATCAGTTTCTAAAAAAAATATTAAACAGCACAACCAATTTCAAATACGATAATATAAGAAATGTTTCTTGAGCATGAAATTAAAAGGATTTCTGAAGAGACTTGAGTAATGGCTGATAAAAATTCAGCTTCACGGAAATAAATTACTGTATTCAAATAGAAAACAATTATTTTTAAATTGTAATAATATTTCACAATATTACAGTTTTACTAAAGCTTCATCAAATAAATGCAACCTTGGTGAGCGGTGAGAAATGAAAATGATCATTTTTATTCATTATAATTTAATAAGTTAATTTAAATACTATTTAATTGCTATAAGCAAATGTTGCATGTTTCTGCATCAATTCTCTGAGGGTTAATCCACTTTCAGTTCATTTTGTGCTTCCATCCCCCATCTCTCTCTCTTTCTCTCTGTCATTTTGTAACCTACTTGGTGTTTTATGTCTCTCTTTAGTGGAGCTCGATACAGAACATGGCCAGAAAGTGCTGGAGATGGAGCATGTGCAGCAGGTCAAGCTAAAGGAGCGGCAGAAGTACTTTGAAGAGGCATTTCAGCAAGACATGGAGCAGTACCTCTCCACAGGATACCTCCAGATCACCGACAGGAGAGGTCAGTTACTTAATTTCGAAGGACCACTTCTGCACATACTTGTTCAAATGTCTGAAATTGATTCATAACAACCCTTAACAACCCTTTTTCTTTCCATCTTTACTCTCCTTGTGTAGTGTCTTATGTGTTTAGTGGCAAACACATATGACAGTAAACAGTGTTTTAGAATTCAAAATGCGATTGTTCTGTTTTTCTTAGTAAACTTCAGAAAATAACAGCAAAATAGTTTGAATCACAGCCACTCTATATGATGTGCTGCTCAGGGCTGTGTCCTTCCCTTCATGCATATTTAAACATACTGTTACTATGTTAAATGGGCGGTTAAAGCGCTTGTGCAAGGATGTTGATGCTAAACTGATGGTCTTCTCTTTCCTCTCTGCTGCCTTAATGCTGCGCTGATGTGTGAGGTACTCTATGCTTTCCCCTGCATCCCTCATTCTTCAGGACATCTACTTTGTCCTAGGCTCCTCCGTTCATGTGTCAATCTATTCACTGTATTGCTCGTGTATTCCTGAATTAAACCTGCTGTTCTGTATGTTTTGAAGTGAACAGTTGGTTTGGTGTTAGAGTTCACAAAATGAAGGTTTCTTTCTTTCTCTGGGGCAGATCCAATAGGCAGTATGTCCTCAATGGAGGTGAATGTTGACCTCCTGGAACAAATGGATCTCACGGATGTGTCCGATCATGAGGCTCTCGATGTCTTCCTCAGCTCCGTAGGGGAAGAGAGCAGCACTCAGTCTCCTGACACAGGTTGGGCTTTGCTTTTAATGAAACTTGATTTCATGTTTGCTTGCTTTTTTTTTTCATGTTTATTATAGAACAAACACAAAAATAACTAATGTGCAAAAATCAGAATCAGTTTTATTGGCAAAGTGTGCTCACAGACAAGGAATTTGTTGTGGCACTGGAAATCCCAGGACCTCACTGAAATCCAAGATAAAAAACAGTTTACACAATTATATGTACAAGTTGTTATTTACTAGTGGTCGACCGATATTGTTTTTTTTTTGACAGCCGATGCCGATATCTTGGAAAGCTGGGTGGCCGATGGCCGATATAAAGCCGATATAATTGTATTTATTTTCATTAATATTTAAGAAATTTTATTTGAAAATGTATAAAAAAATAAATTTGTAAAATAAACATACTTATACTTTAGATGACAAAGTATTTTTCACAAATAAATAAATATTTAATAAAATATAATTAAAAAGGAAGTAAACTGTAACCAACAGAGCACTCGGTATTCTGGGAAGTTTGTGTGCATTGGGAATCATATTTTTTTCAAATAAAGGGCAAATGCATAAAGCGCAGCATAATTTGAAATCACGAATTTAATGTTTAAAGCATTCAATTTGCACAGACCGAAAGTCACGCAGATTACACGCGATCATGCAGGTCACATGCACACTTCACAAGATCTCACAACTGGATTCGACTAAATTTGCAAGGTTTGTGAAATTAAATTTTAATTTACCATTCAAAGATTTGTTTAAATTATGTAAATGCGTATTTGCTGAATGCTGACGGCAAACAAGAAAGTATTATGTTTGCCTTTCTATTACTATAATACTTTTTGTATACATTTTAATTCCTTTGTTTAACAGTTCTATCGGATTATTAGACAGACTTCTATCCGTATTAGACAGAACTGTTAACACAACGGCGAACAAGAGGGAGAATGTGAGCACTGTGTGCTCAGGCGCTGCTGCTCTCAGCGCCATCAAAATAAAAGTCTGGTGCGCCGTCAAAATAAAAGTCCCGCCTCGAACGCATCGGCCAAACAAAAAAACGTATCGGCCGATGCCAATATTTGAAAAATGCCAAATATCGGCCTTGGCGATATATCGGTCGACCACTGTTATTTACATGGGAAAAAATAGGACAGTGGTGGTGCAGAGATATGTTGCTTGTGCAGGTATATAAATAGAAAATGTAGCAAAAAAATTAGGTGGCATAAATAAGTGTATATAGAACATATTGCACTCAGTAGAATTTATGTACTATGGAGTCTTTATTGGGGAGTGTTTAGTGTTCATAATAGAGATGGCTTGTGGGAAGAAACAAAAACCAAAAACTTGCAGAACAAAACCTGAATTTGTTTTAATGTGTTTGGATTTGTTCACACTAGCACAATCAAATCCAAAGTCACAATCAGATTTTAGGACGTACCTGACTCAAACCACATTTGGAAATGTGTTTTAAAACAGGACTTTATGCAGATCCATTTCAGTTTGAGCTGTCTGATCAGAATTAAAGTTTCCTCCCCTCAGGATTAGAATACACTAATATTAAAGTTCTATACTAGTTTGTCCAAATAAATTAAATATTAAACACTAAAACCAAAATCAGTTGTTGTAGCACTTTATAATGTTATGAAAAATGGATATTAATTTCTACTTATTCCAGCACTAATAAAATTGATCAAAAGTGACAGTAAAGACATTTTATAATGTTTCAAAAATTATCAGATTTTTTTTATATTCATCATTCTGAATTCTGAAAAAAGAAATTGTATAGCAGTTTCCACAAAAATATTAAGCAGCGCAAGAAATGTTTCTTGAGCACCAAATCTGAATGATTAATGAAGTGCTATAGTACTGATTTTTACTCCATCCTAAACTAGTTTTATCATTCCACTAAATACTGCAGATACTCAGAAAATGTGAAAGGAAATGGTGCAGATTTGTGTCTGAATGAGTCAAATGACTGTGAACACATTAGACTCCTACCGTGTCTCTCATAGCATTCAAGTATTCAAGGTTGCGACTGCACTTCAGGACTAGTTAATATTCTGAAATAGATGGCGTGACACATTTTACCCTTGTTCTATCTGTTCTGCAGGTGGTCCGGCTCTGGAGCCTGGCTCGTCCCCCTCAGAGATCAGCCTAAAGGTGCCCTCACAGACAGAGCTACGGTACACCATCTCCTCCGTCTCCACCTCCTGCACCGACACCATCAGCGGCGTGACCGAGGGTCCGGATGAAGAGGATGCCAGCGAGGAGAGCTGCAGCGGAGACTCTCCACTGGTCCAGTCAGATGAGGAGGAGGTACATGCCGACACAGCCCTCATGGGCCTCCCAGAAACAGAGCCGCTCAAAAGCTCAGACGACAGTGACACATAGGCCCCCTAGTGGCCACGGATGGCAAACGCACTCGTTTAATTTGGTTTCTAGATGAAAACCTGTTTTACATCAAGGCCCAGACAGAAGGAGTGCTGAAAACCAGCCAGATGTTTCTTCATGGCTTAATGCGACACTTTGAGATGAAGATTTTGGAGCCTTATAGAACGCTGTTTGTGCTCAGCCTAGAGAGCACCTCTTTCTGACTCTTAGCGCTGTGATTTTTGTTTTATTCTTTCCCAATACAAAAAATCAACTCAGTGTATGACACAATTCTTCGTATTACCTATTGCATCAGAATTATATAATAATAAACATTTTACAGTGTTCCCGCTAATATCCCTGATGTATGTTGCATGAATTTGTAATGCGGCGCTCATTTGCATATGACATGATTGAGCCGATTGAAAGACTCTGAAATAAAATAAATATACCTTGAAATAAGAGGGGCCTCAAAGACAGTCTCAATGTAGAACTGATATTTCATATCATAGTGATCTAAGGCATAGACTTGTCCAGTTAATGTTAATATATACTAAATATTAAAATCAACAGCCGGTAATATTAATGTACATGCGCTAACATGAATTAACAATGAACAGTTGTATTATTTTAGATCTGTTATCAACACATACCGGCTTTTTAATTGTACATGCTCATTTCCCGTTTTTACATTTAGATTACATTTGCCATCACCTAACGTTCAAAGTTAATCTTTAAAAACACTATTAACTTAACACTGTTAAATGTAATATTTTGAATAGACATTTTTCATACTGTACATTATGTTGTGATGCCTAAATTAATTTCTAGCATTTAAAATTATTAATTTTATTTTGTTTTTAAATTTGTAGTTTTATATGTTGTTTAACACAAAATAATATAGAATTATAATTTTGCCATTTTACCAGTTATTGTCCGTAACATCAAAGTACTCTGCATCTCCACAAAACAAAACAAAAACATGAGGCCAGTACATTTTTGGAAGGATTGACAAGTGATTTATTAAAACAAAAAAAATATACAAACCTGAAAAGTAAAAAAAAAAAAAAAGTAACCAAAAAGATCTCCACTGGACTGGAGGACTGAGTAACAGTGCATATAAATAAACAGTACAAGGATCAGGAGTATTACTGTATAAAATAGGATGAAAGGATAACAAAAGAAAATAAAAACATTTTAAGGCCATAAAAAGTATACAACCACATTTTGGAAACACTGTTCAGTTTATTTAAACCTTTAATACAAATCAGTCATTTGGAAAGGGGCGACTACCATGTTTGATTACAGGACTTTGATACAGTCAGTGCAATGGGTAGCTAGGCATACACAATACTTTACTTTTGGGTAAAAGACTTTTCCTTTTGAATAAAAAAAGTAAAGCTAAAAAACTAGGGATCACCACTATGACATACTTCTCAGTGATTTAAGCAGCACTTATTTTTTGTATGTTTTTTGTAGCAACCCTGTTAACATCTAATTTATATCAATGAAGAAACCAATGTAGAAGTAAGGCTTTTTCTTCATCTCGACCTTCTCATCCAAACCCCTAGAGACCCGAACTCAAAGGCTCAATTTAACATTTACTGGCATAGAAACATATTTGGGGCTTTTTTGGATAGATATTAGTATTTCGCAATAATATTTCTATGAAAATTAAAAGGATATTTAAAGATTTCATTCTTAACGGCAAAACAGGTGGAGCATTTTCAAGAAACACTGGTAACCAGTTACAAATATAAAGTCGGGGGCAAAAGTTTGTGGGATAAAAGGGAAAGTGCATTTACAATTGACGTAGTAACTTTAAAAACAAGTACAAACTGCCCTCAGCATCAAACTTGTTATTTGTACTTCAAAGATTTTTATTAAAAGGCCTCAGAATGTGCTTTTAAAAGAAGGGGGTTCCTTGAGATCTCCAGGTGGGAATTCCCAAAGGAAATCTCTTATCGGTGGCATCAGAAACGTTTGCAGGCTCCTTCAAGTGTCAAATCTATGTAAAAGTGTCAAGCCCGCAATTATTATTTTATAATATTTATTATTATTTTATAAGTGTGGGCATTTTGGTTCTTGTTCCTGACAGCTTTAAGATGTAATAAACGTGAGCCCAAGAGACAACCAGGCCATAAGGGTGATGGAGAAAAGTGTCACTACAGCACCAGTTAAACACAAATGATAGGAATCGTATAGGATATATTTATATCTATGTATACGCATATCTATACTCGATTTAATGCTAAAACAACCCGAAAATACTCATCTAAAAACCAATCTCAACACTAGTGCAAAAGGTTTCGTGCTTGATGGATGAGACCCAATAGCCTTATGTCAGGTGCCCCAAACAATTGTGTATTCGCCCCCTTATATTTGACGTGAAATGCGATGTAACATTTAACCTCTGTACATTCAATATATTGGACTAACCAGCCAGTAACTACACGGATCTGTAATACAAAAGTGCAATATAACAGCTTGTTGTATTGATATATTATACACTAGGTACAAAGAGTATTGAAGAGTGTTTGTACACAAGTATTAGGAACACCTGATATAAAAGGAGACCCGGAGGAATGTCGCTGACGGTCTGGTTAGGAGCGGCCGGTGTTCTTTGAGGCGGCGCTGGAGAGGGGGATCAGGGCGGAGCTCTTGTTTCTGGGGCTTCGTTTTGCTGGTGTCTTGCTGGTGCCCACGGCTTTCTGCTTCACTCCACTCTTCTCCAGTACTCTGCCACACACTCGATTCACCAGACCGCTGATCTGCTCCTGTGCAAAATAGGGTGGGATGCTGGAGGTTACATATTTACACTGAGAAGTTTATTTTGAAGTGGAATACCATATTGACAATGTGATTTCTACAACAAAATGCTGCAATTAATACGATATCGCACAATACAATCAGGGCCGGATTAACAATAGGGCAAGGTGGGGCTGAAGCCCCAGGGCCTCGAGCAACGAGGGGGCCCGTGATTGGCTGTGGAGTAGATTGACTGAAGCGCCAATCGCCAAAGCCCCACCACGCCCCCACTTATTAGCGCTATTATTTAGTGGAGCTTTGCCGTAAATTCCATGTATTACCATTAGATATTGAAACGTCACGTTTGAATTTGGTTTACCAATCAAATGCATTTATTCTGTATTTGACTTTTGAACGAACTGTACGAGTATCTATCAGGTGCTAGCTGCGCCTGATATCCGCATTCACCTCCACTCTTCACTTCGTTCTGGCATAATCTGGAAATGGTCACGCAAAGAACAATCTTCGATAAGTAAAAATGTCAGCTATTCTAAAAAAAAAAATGTGAAAGGGGCTCAAAAAAAAACAAAAAACGTAAAAGACAAACAGCAGATAAAACATAGTCAGTAAAATCTCCAGCTATCAGGTTATTTTACTAAAGATGATGATGGAGTAGAAGTTGTGAAACAGCAAGTGGACCGGGCACATGGAGAAGATAAAAACAGCGGCATCGTCCACACAGATTTTAGGTTAGTTTGATTATTAACTTGATGGATGTATTTGGCTTTTTGTGTTTGAACAAACTCTATATATTCGCTTAAGGGTTGGGAAATAACCCGGTAGAAAAAATGTCAATCGTTCTTTTTCAGGCCTTGTGCTTAAACGTTCAAATACACATAGTTATGTGTTAAAATGCCAGTCTTTGCGAGTATCCTCGTCAACACAGTCACAACATGTGTCTTACATGAACGTTAATAGTTAAAGATAAAGCATGTGTAATAGTAGGCTATATGAGATCCTGGCATTATCTTCACCCAAAAATGAAAATACTGTCCTCATTTACTCACCCTCAAGTTGTTCTAAACCTGTATGAATTTTTTTGTTCTCCTCAACAAAACAGAAGATATTTTGAAGAATGTTTATAACCAGAAAGTTTCTGGTCCCCATTGACTCCAATAGTGTTTCTTTCTTTTTTTTTCTTTGGTTACCAGTATTGTTCCAAATATATTCTTTTGCGTTCAACAGCAGAGGGAAACTCATACAGGTTTAGAACAAAAACAGAATTTTAATTTTTGGGTGAACTATTCCTCTAAAGCAGCCTAATATAGCTGCTGTTGCCATTTGTGTCAATAATGTAAATCAAACATCAGAAAGAAAATCACTCACCGTCCTTGACTGAATCACTTTTGTAAAATAAGTAAGAATTAATGTATATTGAATTTATACAGTGAAGACTATTCAGTCTATTTGTACATTTACTTTATTCGATATATTTCTTATTCCTTTTTTTTTTTTTTTCCAAGTAGGTTGATTTCGTATGTATCTTTGTGCTATTATAATTTGTGATTGTTTACTTGTTCAGCAAGCTTGGTTTTACTTGAGCTAGTATTTTTTTTTTTACACCCATCACATTTTTGTAAATATTTTATTATATCTTTTCATGTGACAACACTGAAGAAATGACACTTTGCTACAATGTAAAGTAGTGAGTGTACAGCTTGTATAACAGTGTAAATTTGCTGTCCCCTCAAAATAACTCAACACACAGCCATTAATGTCTAAACCGCTGGCCACAAAAGTGAGTACAAGTGAAAATGTCCAAATTGGGCCCAAGGTGTCAATATTTTGTGTGGCCACCATTATTTTCCAGCACTGCCTTAACCCTCTTAGTTTATATTTAGTTTTAATTTGATTTTAGTTTCTGATTTTGTTTTAGACAAAAAAAACACAACAGTTTAATGCGTTTAATGCTACTCCCAGCTTTTATACACACTTGCCGTAGACAGTAAAGTACCTCAGTGTAACGAAACATCATCTTGAGGCCACGGGGGGACCTGCGCTTCTGGATGTATCGTAGAGCACATTCCAGACAGAAAACCACATTGTCACTCTCGTGAACAACCTGTTGAAGATGAGACAGGGAGAGTACAGTATATATGCTAATATGACATATTATAGCATAGCTAGACCAATTAGCCAAGAGAAATTTCTTCATAATTTAAGACAGACCCCTCTGAATAAAGTAAAGTGATGTGTAATATTGTAAATGTACCATGGAGAGGTAACACAGATGCTGACACACTTGGCAGCGCCTGTCAGCCGTGTCTTCTGTAAATCTGGAGCGCTGCTGCTTCTTGTCTGCTTGAGACTCGCAGTGTGTGCCATAGCGTGCAGACAGACGGAGCCCGGCCTCGAACAGATCCCTGCGCTGGCTAATCTCTGAATCCCTGAAAAAGTACAGAACAGGACTTTTACCCATGTGTGTGTTCATCTGTGTTAGAAAAATGAATCTTTTCTGAGTTTCTGGCTATTGAAGCTCATTAAACGAGTCAAAGCAAGCCTCAGGGCATGTTTCGGACAGACCTGAGATCTTTGATGAGACTGGAGACTGCATTCATGAGCTGCTTGTTGTCCCGCTCACATGTAGTGATCTGGTAGAGCAGTTTCTCTGTGGAGAATGGCTCCTCGATACGACGCCGTTTAAGGTCCTGCAAAACAAAAACACAACACACAAGTGTGAAAGCACCATACTCCCACAGAAAATAGACAAAACCTCACTCCATAAATACAGCTCTATTTGAGCTGAACCAAGCCTAGCTCCGTCTGTCCGTGCAGCGAGTCTCTCACCTTAGCTGCCTCGTAGCCCAGCTTCATCCACTGGGGGTTGGCGAAGTGCACGGTCTCTGAGACACTGTAGCCACAACACACCTTAGACACAAAGGTCCCTGGAAAACATACCATGAACTGGCCACTCTGTTGCACAGTCCGGTACACTTTAACTCCCTTTCGACGGAGCACCTCTGGAGAAATCTGTCATGAGGATGAAGAGATAAAAGTCAAAAGAAAAGTAACGTCACATCAAACCACATTCTCCTTTTCATTGCAGAAAGACAGTACATTTAAAGGGACAGTCACCAAAAATGGACAATTTTGCTGTTTGTTTTCTATGGAACACAAAAGAAGATATTATGAAAAATGTCTCAGTGTTTCAATCCATTTCTCGTGGCCACGAGTTTAATGCGTAAACAAAGCTGAGTGACCATAGTGACCTGGGATTTTCAGAGATGGTTTTATTAATATTTTATTTTGAATTAAGAAATTATACATTATTAAATTATTATATTAACCATAGGCCTTGGCTACCAGACTGTATTGCGCACGATGTAGACGGCATTAGACAGCAGTAGTTTATCATGAATAAATGTTACATAAAGTACATAAAATAAATAAAATAACACACACACAGGCATAAATACAATCATGAAGTCAAAACTTTATTGGCATAATTGTCAGGCGTTTACAGTATTGCAAAATATATGGTAGCAAATACTAGCATAATTATACAAAACGTTAATTAGGTAAAGCGATACACAATAAATATAAAAATATAGCCCTAACCAGTTATTATGATAATAATAATAATATACAAATATTAAATTAAAAGACACAATCAGTTAATGGATTTACAAGACTGTGGTATGGATCAAAATGTTTTATCCATTTCTAGTAATCCCAGGTTGCTATGGTCACGCAGGTTCGTTTAAACTCGTGGCCACGAGAAAAACATGTCGTTCCCTCAAAATAATAAGAGAAATGCATGTCGTATCCTCAACATAGGTTCTCGAGGTTGCGACTTCACATCGTGTGGCCACGACATAAGGATGTCGTTACCTCGACAAAATGATCTTGTGGCCACAACATAATATCACGTTCCCGTGAGTTAATATGTTGTGCCCACGACAAAATTAAGTGAACCGAACATGTCCCCTCCCGGTCACCGTAAGAAAGAAAGTGAAACAACAACATGAGGGGAGTAAATTATGACAAAATGTTTATTTTTAGGTGAGCTGTCCCTTTAAGAAGTCAATGTTTCTCTCTCACCATAATGTTCCTCTCTAGCATCTCCAGCCCTGGAGTGCCGTTAGCCTGTAGCAGTGTGTGTACTACTTTGTCAAGTTTTGATTTCTCTTCAGCTGGAATACAGTACCTGAGGATGAGAGAGACACATTTATTAGGGAACATGCCATTTGGGTTCAATTTAAGCCCAACTCTTTAAACTCTTACCAAATGCAGTCAGCACCAGTGTGTAGGTAATCGATATACGGAAGGCTGTTCTGGTCCCGACACCAGCATGAGGTAGAAAAGACCATGCCTATGTTCAGCCAGGGGATGGTCACTCCTTCATGCAAACACAAACAAATGTACTGAACACTTACTGCTGCACAGATTCAACAGCTTCGCAGGCAGATTAAATACACACATCATGTAGATGTTTTATTGTATGCATGAAAGTTTTTCAGTTTTCGGAAAACATTACCTGGCACAGCACCAAGATGACGTAAGATGGATCCTGAGCTATTGGGAAGGACGGTAAGATTCCATCCATGCCTTGGGAACAAGACAAGCCAATTAGAGTTTGCAGAGTCTGTCAATATTTTATGCACATTTTGTTTATCTTCTACAAGTAACACTTTACAATAAGGTTGTATATACTGTTAAAGCACTATCATTGGTATTATAACAGAATTTATAAATATCTATAATCAGGTTAATTTACACATATACCTTTTACAAAGGTTTTGCAATATATCAGCCAATATTGGATTTTTAATCGTGCCTGCTCATTTCGTATGTTTTTCAACTATGATTTTAAAGTTCATATTTAAAAACACTTTATTCTTGTGACAAAATCTTCAAATTCCAGAGGCAAAAAAGGTCCAGTGTCTGTTGTCAACAGTGTAGTGATGTATGAAACAGCTCACACAGGAGTATCAATGCAAGCAGCTTCTTGTTGGTCAGCATGGTGAATCTGCGTGACCAACTTGAACCGTTGCGAAATCTGTGTGCGGAAATCTTTCACGCTCACGCAAAAGTAAATGATCATTTTTCATACTGTACATTGTAATGCCTAAATTCACTTAATATGGCTTTATAGCATCAGTTTTTACAGGTGACATTGGTTAATATATTATGAACTAACTGATATATAAATATACATAATATATTTCTATGAAATATAATATTTATATAAAATAAAATGTAAACATTTAATAAATTGTTAGTAATTGGTGCATTAAATAATGTTAACATTTACAAACTTAAAGGATAGTTCACCCAAAAATGAAAATTCTGCCATCATTTACTCACCATTCAGTCATTACAAACCTCTACGAGTTTCCTCTATGAGTACGGAAAAATACTATGGAAGTCAATGGTTACCGTCAGCTGTTTGGTTACCAACATTCTTCAAAATATTTTCTTTTGTGTTTTGCAGAATAAAGAAACCTATACAGGTTTGGAACAAATGGAGGGTGAGTAAATGATGGCAGTATCAAAATGTCCACTTTTGGGTAAACTATCCCTATAAATGTTTTTTAAAACCCTAACTTTGAAAATGGCTCAGACTTTCCCACAGGAAATCCACTCCCATGAGTCTTTGTGTCAACCCTCCCACAGTGCACAGCAACATGGCATTCCTTTTCCTCAACCAGTCTCCAGTACTCCCTCTGCAGCAACAGTTAAAAGACATGACAGTGAACATGACTAAAAACAACATCACTTATTCCTGCACATCAAAGAAAACATGATGAAAACAGCTTGTCAACATGAAAATGTACCTCAACTTCAGCAGTGTCTGGCTCTTTGCTGAAGCATGTGTTCATAGTGTTCCTGGCTGCCCTGTAGAATGTCGTCAGCGAGAACGACTTTCCCTGGGAAAGACAGACAAACAATGAGCATCCACACCAAAGACTGATGCTTAAAGGGGTGGCTGACTGCTTTTTTTCTAGGCTTGATTGTGTTTATGGGGTGCAGTGTTAATGCTTAGTTTTTAAAAAAAAAACATTATTTATTCTACACCGCACTGTCCTTTTTCCTATGAACGCTCTGATGATTTCCTGGTTTTATGAAGCCCCACCCTCAGAAATATGCAATGGGCTCTGATTGGTTAGCTGGCCCAGTGTGTTGTGAGTCGCTAAACCGCCTAGTGCACATCTAATCGTCACACCCCTCACCTCAGTGCATGTGCTCTGGTTGTATTGTAAACAATGGCGTCGTCAATATTGCTTATCAATTTGAGCCCGATTGAGATTCAGAGAATCTTAGTGAAGAGGATCGCGCAGAACCTGTGCAAGCACGGCTCTTACAGGATGTTTCAGAATGATATGTTTTGTTTGTTGTTGTCTTATACTTTTAGATACGCTGTTATTTGTAAATGCTACTGCTTATGTTAGCTTCTAATATACGGTTTTATCCTGATTAAAGCTTTAATACAGCAGAATACATGATTGCGTTTTAGCATTTTTGTAACTGTAAGAAGTGTTTGCCAGCAAGTATTGCTCGCTACACGGCAACCATGTGTGCGTCCATGTTTAATGCTTCTCGTAGCTATGTGAAAAATATCTGTCTGTCTATACTCATAAAGTGTATAATTGGAACACAGTTCATTGATGGAGCTGACGAGCTGATGATCTGAATGAGAGAGAGTGAGAGAGATGAAGAGCAGGGCAATGCGAGAATCGTTAGAAGACAGAATCGCGATTCATATATGAATAGATTTTTTCATGCACCCCTAGTTTTGACGGCATGGCAACAACTCCTCTTCTCTAAAGCAGCGCAACATGGCCTCGCCCTCTTTGTTGCATGTTCCCGGGGGCGGGGTTTATGTAAATTTCAGGGTTTGTGATGTCAACCCAGGAAGAAGCTCGTTGTAGTCCCTACCAGCCGTTTGTTGTAGGCCTAAAAAGTGAATTCTGTAAAAGAAACAGAAACATTACACACTAACTAAAGTTAAAAAAGTGAAATCACAATCAAGGACCCTTTTAAGCACTCACTTTGTTCTGTTAAATTTACTTGTTCTATTGCTCGTAATTAGTTTCTTTGTTCTTCTTTTATTACGGTTTACTTTTTTTTATTAGAGGAATTTGGCCTAATTTGCAGAGGTGAATAGCTATTGATAATTTTTGATAATTAAGTTTAAATCACTCATTCTCTGCATCTCTTCATGTTTTTGTTAGCTGCCCAGCTACAAGAACTTCAAAGGTGCCATTAATGTGCTGGGACAGAACCAATATTTGGTCAGTGGAGAAGTGTCTGTCCTGGACAAAAATACCATTGAGATTACCGAACTTCCTGTTCGCACCTGGACTCAGGTAAGATCACTTGCAGAAGTCTTGATGCTGTAAAGCTGGATCTCTTTACTGGAACGCTGGTGATGCCAGAAATGCCATCTTTTTTCTCTTTCAGGCGTATAAGGAGTCGGTTCTGGAGCCCATGCTCCAAGGAACAGATAAAACTCCTCCTCTGATCAATGACTATAAGGAGTACCACACCGACAGCACAGTGAAGTTTGTGGTGCGCATGACAGTATATATATATTATGTATCCAAAAAGTAAAGCAAATATACCCTGTGTATGCACTTGTAATGTTCATTTATCACCCCTTCATCCTCCCCTCTCTTCTCTAGTCTTCTCGGCCGGGTGGTCTTTGCCGTGGGGTCCAGCTCTCTGAGGTGCTCACGCGCTCTGCTGCGGTGCAACGCTCCATTCACCAGCCCATTTTTGGGCTCGCAGCGTGGAAGCAGCAGAGCGGCATGCTGGGATATGTCTCCCTGGCCCTCTAAGGGCCCACTTCTTCTCTCCAGGGCCTCTTTCTCCGCCAGCACTTCCTTCTCCAGCTGGGCCCTCTGGGCTGGGGACAGAGAGTCGTAGGAGAGCAGGTACTGGCAGTACGCCTCCTGGAGCTTGGCCAGCCGATCTTGAGCCGAGCGCGGGATGCCCAGCAGATCGGCGAGACGGCCCCACGACTTCAGGTCTGTCACCTGCTGCATTCCCCCCATTTCATTGAGGATCCGGAAGAATCTGGCCAGGTCCAGCTCACAGCCCCCTAAAAGGAAGCAAAAAGGATACAAATGAATTACCACGCTGGCTGTTAGCAAATGGCTGCTGCTTTAATTTCGCTTCACTTTTATCTCTAAAGGGGTGAGTAAAATGCAGCCTAATATACATTTTTGGGTGAACTAACCCTTTAAACTGCCATAATTTTAAAAGACAATATCTCCGTTTGCATTGAACTTTCAGCGTCGTAACTTTGCAGATATAGTGTATGCTCAAACAGCAACATTACACACTAAGGTTAAAAAAGTGAAATCGCAATCAACCACCCCTTTAAGTATGGTTAAAGTGCCGAGTACTGCCAAGTGTACTGACAAGCATTTATGCTTCAAGTATACTTCAATGTAATTTCTATGAGCCGAGCGCGGGATGCCCAGCAGATCGGCGAGACGGCCCCACGTCTTCAGGTCTGTGACCTGCTGCATTCCCCCCATTTCATTGAGGATCCGGAAGAATCTGGCCAGGTCCAGCTCACAGCCCCCTAAAAGGAAGCAAAAAGGATACAAATGAATTACCACGCTGGCTGTTAGCAAATGGCTGCTGCTTTAATTTCGCTTCACTTTTATCTCTAAATGTGTGCGCACATACGCCATTAGTCACAGCTTTCAAACGGCTTGCATTAGTGCCAGCCATGTCACTGTTTGAGTGGCACATTGAAACTAAAGAAGGATTTGAGGTTGGCAAGAAGGCAGCAGCTCTGTCTGGTGTCGCCTAGATGATTTTCCTCATTCAGTCAACAAGAGACCAGACTGAGACTGTCTATCTGTCTTGGCTCTAGTAATCTCATCAAAGGAAGCTGCCTTTGCTAGCATGAGCTCGCTAATCTGTCCAAACTGAACAGGTCAGTGACAGAATGACCAATAGATATGCACTTCAAATATAGCTGGTAGATTACAAGTGAAGATATAATACTTATCTGAATATTAATACAAAAACACACCAACTGTTGTCTGAGCTAACACGTTAATCTAATTTACTTCAACTAAAGACAACATAGCCTGGATTTAACAGAGAATTTGATGTAATGGGTATGAATATAATTATATTCAATTCAATAGAATTGAATTGAATTGAATTGAATATAATTATATTAGGAAAACTCCTTTGAAACAGTAGCTTCTGCAGTCAAGGTAGTAACAAAAAGTCTAACTGCATTGTAGTTTTATAAGGCGGCAAATATTTTACATTTAATTATAAAAGTAACATTAATATATATATAT